AACAACAGCAAACATCCTTAGAATAAATAACAGTAGTGGAACCTCACCGATGTACCAGATAGGCCAGTAGGTGATGTTGTAGTATCGGCTCAGCAATTTCCCTGACCTGACAGAAAAGCAAAACAGACACAGAACACATAACTAAACTGTGCACAGGAATTTGAGAGAGGAAACATTCAGGGCAGTGTTGCGTATTAACTGGAGATCCTGTTCTCTGTTCATGTAAAATGCATATTCATGGTGATATCCTCTACAGACAACAACAGGAAGCAAACAGCCTGCTTTACCTTCATACACCATGTTTAGTCTGTTGGCTGTTTAATGCTCGTTAATGATTTATGTTAACTGATAACAGTCACAACTTAACACAGATGAACGTTCGCTAATAAATAAATGCACCTGTTGTCCACAACACAAATCATGTACACTTGTTTAGAGAAAAACTTACACCTGATAACTTGCTCTTAATCTACTTTGCCCTACATATAATTGTCACGGCAACAGGATCATTTCAGTAATAACAATCAAAACCTATGAATTAGTTCACGCCTCTTTATCAGTCCCTGTGGCTCACCGTGTAGGGCAGAGTTCAGGCATATTTGTCGTCCTTTTGAGAATTACTTTATGTTTCTTTAATTCAAGCTGAAGGTTTATATTGTCTAAAAGGAAAGGTTGTGACGCTGAAAACTAAAGTTTTTAGCATAGAGTCATTGTTAAGGTCCCATATTTTGCCCCTTCTCAGCAAATTAATAAACACGACTTTCAATGTTTCAGCTTAAAATACAACAAAGTTGGTTCATTTTACTCTGACTATACGACCTCTGTTGGTGAGGTTGTCTGACAACATTGGAGTCTAAAATCAGCAGCATAGCAGTGTAGAGTGGCATCTTTAAAGAGGATTTTAATGGGCTGTGTTTAGTGAATGTTTTATACTCATTCCATTGGATGACAACAGAAACAGAAAAATGTTTAAACAACAAAAAGCTTAATTGGGAATTCAGCTGCAGTATATGTGAGGAGGAGAGAAGCAAACAGATGTAAACACTGACTGTGTCTAAACGGCACTGAAGCATAGCAGGCGACATTAAAACACAGTAACCCACCCAGTTCTTGTTTATCGGTCTTAAAGGTCTCTGTATCATCTCTGTAAGTCTCTAAGCTTTACAGTCTCCACAGACCAAATAAACAATAGCTACGCAGGTCATACGACACTCTAACAGTCAGTACTTTGCTATAGTTGTGGTGACATTACTATTAATAACAAAAGCACACCGCTGTATCTTCAGTTCCTCAGATGCTGGGAGTGCATGAAGACTTCTGTGATCACTCTTGCAATGAACAACAGAACATTTGGTGCTGCTCATGGCTGAGACATTTTAGAGTTTGCAGTAGCGGCTCCAGAAAGTTAACAAACCTGGTGGATTGAGCGGCAGCTGCTCATTCTGAACGGTTCACCTCACAAGCAGCCGGCAGCGAGGGCGCAGGATGCAAAGTCTGAGCTGGACGAAGACTGGTTCTAAAGCTGATATGTTTCTTACTGCCTTGTAAAGTTATCTAGTTGTGGGGGGACTTGAGTAAGTAACTTTTGGCTCTGAATATGAGGAATCTGCGACTATAAACATCACGATTTCCCTCCAGCAGGCTTGAACAGCAAACAAACATCACCAGGCAACATGATCACCACATCAGCTGGAACACCAGTGCTACATTACAATTTTTAGGTCGCTATTCCAGCAGAACTACTTACATTTCAGTGTAAATCATGCCAGCCAGGGACATATTGAGGACAGCCCAGGCGAGGACCACCTGTCGAGCCTGCTCCTCCCTCCTCATCCTCAGCGCCCGGTCGATCATACTGGGCATCCCCTCCTTCGGTGGGGTCAACATGATGTTATCACACTGGTCAGGCTGAAAGAAAGAGCAGAGAGAAACACTCTGAGACAAAAAAAAAAAAACAAGCATGAAATGTGCCAAGACCAAGTCGAGCTTTAAAACAGACAGATTAAGCGAGTATACTTAAACTTGACATGAAAGTTAGCACGACAGCTGTGCTCAACTTACGGCTAACACAAGTGTAGCTCAGTTAGCCCTGCTAGCTAAACGGCTAGCTAAAGTTAGCTGTAGCTTTTACCACAAACAGAGAGGAACGTGCAGCGAAAGTTTAGTTTCTGGTTGGATTTCCGTCCACAATGTAAACAAGCCACAACGCTGAGGGGTTATTCAGAGGGCGATATAACCAAAATATTATACAAAGCGTAGGAAATGTAGAAAATTCATACCACGCTGAAGTGAATGACAACCGCGGCGCTGCATAATTTGTATTTTAACCGGCAGTTGCAAAGTGCACTACCGGGTCATCACACCGGCCTCATTTAAATATGACACTTTGGAAAATTAAAAAAAGTTTTTTTTGGTTGTTGTTTTGTTTTTTTAATTTCTGTTTTGCACCTAAAATTTTCTTATGTGGAATCTCACACAAACAGCGACAATTGTAGTAATATGTGCAAGGAAAAAAAATAATTAAAAAAAAATGTCACATTAGTTTTGAGACTAATTTCTATCAATGCATTAATCTCTTTGGAAATATTAGATATTCACGTGACTAATGTTTTTATTCAAGTTTTTTCTACCTGTTCTAAGTGAAGTAGAAACGCTGCAACAAAATAGTAATCAATGACAAACAAAACCAGTGATCAGTGAAACAAATTGAGCAAATCTATCATTTTGAATCTGCCTAATTGCATTAACATGGTTATAAAACTGAATGACTGAAAGTCAGTGGACACACAGCTGCAGCAGTAATCCAGAAATATAGAACAAGCCACAGCACCACTAATCAGAGCCACAGTGGCTGGATCCTGAAACTGACGCCACCACTTTTACAATCTGGCTCCAAACAACAGATGGTTATAGAAGTATTTCCCACTTGGTACAGGGGTTATCAGTGGAAATGAAAGTGTCTGTGACTGCTCAGAGCATTGCATACTATCAACCTCTATGGACGGCATCAAAGAAAATAAAAAACGCTGCTTGCCATCCATCGCAAAACTGCAAGATTGACTTTGTTATGAAAAGAAGCCTGATGGATACTGGAATATTGGGAACACTTTCTTTTGTCAGATGAGACCAAGATAAATTTGTTCACCTCAGATGTGGTCGAGCAGGTTTGGTATGAACGTAGTCAGGACTACCACAGCGAATGCACAGTCCTGACCGTGAAGCATGAAGGTGACATTTGTAGATGCATCATGGATGTCTGGAGATGTACCAAAAATACTAGATAACAAGATGACTTCCAAATCTGCAGAAACTTGGAAGACGAGAAATATTTCCATCCATCCATTATCTATACACCGCTTAATCCTCACTGGGGTCGCAGGGGGCTGAAGCCTATCCCAGCTGACTCAGGGTGAAGGCAGGGGACACTCACATTCACTCCTACAGACAGAATCACCAATTAACCTCAACATGTTTTCGGACCTTGTGGGAGGAAGCCGGAGAACCCGGAGGGAACCCACACTGCACGGGGAGAACATGCAAACTCCACGCAGAAAGATCCCAGTGCCCCCACCGGGACGCGAACCGGCGACCTTCTCGGCAACAGTGTTCGAGAAACAGTTAAGCAAGTAAATGATCCAAAACACACTGCCAAAATCACGCAAGAGTTTCTAAATAGGAAAAAGTAAAAACTAAGACCTGTCTAAGTAAGTCGCCTGATTTAAATCCAACACCTCTGAGATACTTTAAAGAGAAAAGCTGAGCAACACAAAACCTCCAGCAAAGAGCAGTTGAAATAAAATGGTCTTTGATGAATGGCAGAACATCTCTCCAGAAAATGAACATCCTCCATGTTAAAGAGGCTTGAGTTTGTCATCAAAATTAGAAGTGGACAAATGAAATACTACAAAGGTCTGCTGAGTTTTGTTGGATGAAGTTCCGACTGTGGGGCTGCTATTTTTCATATATTAAATCTAAACTGTATGACGCTCATTTCTGTTCCGTTATATCCACTATGATCACCAGTCTGCATGCTTTACATAATGAAAACAACACAGACATTTAAAAAAAAAAAAAAAAGTACCAATAAACAACATAACAGCTGTAAATATCCATTTATTAAAATGTGCAACGGATAAGATGGAGCTATAACATGATTGTAACATTCAGTCAACACTCACACCAGGTGGGATATTGTCACATTAATGCCCAGATACTTGATTTCAAAAGGCTCGCTTCCATTCACACACACACGACAGAATTAAATAAAGGGAAGAGAATACAAAATTAATAAATAAAGAAAAATAGCACAACCCATTTAGCAACTACATATAATCAAGAATAATATAAAAAAAATGCAGGAATATACAAGAATATCAGAATTTTAGAACTGACATTCTTCTGCAATTACTAATCTGTATCAGTTGTGTTATTGAGTGAACTGAGGAATTAGGATTAAAGAAAAACAACCAGTAAATGAGAGCTTATGTGAACCCACTAAAACCGTTAATATCACAGAGGCCTGAGTTAATGAAGAGAAAATAACTTGAAAGAAGTATGTTCAAATCTTTATCAGCTGGCTTCTAATGTGACAAAGATTACACTGGTCTACACCCATTTTGGTGTCAAAGTTTTTTGAGCTGATTTTGGACAACTGCAGTGTGCCGAATCCAAATATTACATTGGTTTTGCTCAATGAGGTCAAAAGTTTGATTTGTCGCCACATGCACTTTTGTTTTTTACATTTTGTGTACATGTGCGGGTATCTATGCTTTGTATCGTACAATATTCTTTTTCTATTTCCTGAAATGAACAAATTCTGAAACCTTTTCAAGTTGATACTGTAAATATTTGTAGGTGAATTAAATGTAGATAAAAAGTTTACCCCCTGGTTTATGAACAACACATTAGAGTCACGTGATTTTATCAGAAAGAGATGGAGACCAGGCATCAGGGACGCTGGGATGCAGTCGTGATGGCTGATTACTGCTGGACTCTGAAGAGAGATAAACCTGCTGCTGATCATTCCAGGAGCTCCAAGAAGTGCAAGTTCAAGCCCTGAATTTTGAGCAATGCTGATGAAAAATGCAATGTACTTGTATTTAGCTTTATAAATGTTTACGCTCATCAACTTGTGGATCATTTAGCTTATGAAAAGGATTAGAAAATGAAATTTTTCCTCTAAAATCCGATTTCATATGAGAAATACTAAAATAAATCAATCGCTAATGTCAAAAAATTTGATCAACTTAGTGGCAAAATCGATTTTTTCAAAATCGAGTTGGCATAAAAACGTGACCTGACACAGAAAAGCAGATGTCATTTTTGGATTCAGCGTTGCAAAAATGTCCTAAATCAGTTAAATCAGTCAGACACCTTCAACAAAATACTTTTTGTAACCCAGTGTTATTTTAGCAGCAGCGATATGCTTGTGAGAGGCTAAACACGTTTTTAACATTTTTATAATGCAAAATGTGGCAGTTAAATTGTATTAATTTTGACAAATGTCAGTTATATTTTAACAAAGTAACTAGTATTTGGCAAAAAAAAAAAAAAGAGAGGTAAACATTGGTACTGTAGTAAATAAATAAAACATCTCAAGAGGCACAGTGTTGTCAATGAGGGGGTGACAGGGACTTCTCAGAGTTATATCCTCCAACATCCAAACCACAGTCCTCGCTATTTGCTGAGTCAACGAGCCTCTCTCCTCCTCTTCTGCCGTCGTCATCCTCCTCATCGTCTTCCTCCTCGTCGACGTCCTGCTCCTTACGGGACACTCTTTCCATCTTGGGCCCTTTGCAGATCTTCAGGTGACGCGTGAGGTGGTATTTGGTGAGGAACGCTTTGTGGCACTTCTCGCAGACAAAGTCTCTTCGGCCCTCGTGAGAGTTCATGTGCTTCTTCAGGTGGTTGGTCTTGAGGAAGTGTTTGTTGCACTTGGGGCACTGAATCCGGCGTTCGCTGTGGTGAGAAAAAAACAGGGGAATGACTAATAAATAGGGAGAAAATACTGCAACAAAACCAACAGTCCATCAGTTTGTTCGGTTTTACAATAAGTAATCTGTACATACTGCGTGTGAGAGAACATGTGCTGTTTCAGGTCATGTTTCCTGATGAAGGTTCGGTCGCAAAGGTCGCACTTGAGCTTCTCTGCACCGGTGTGGATGAGCATGTGTGACGCCACGTGGGATTTCTGGGTGAACGATTTCTCGCAAACGGTGCATCTGTAGTTCTTCTGACCTGTAAGTGGGAAAAGTCAAGTAAACAGTAAAGTTAAAAAGCTGATTTTAGGTACAGTTAAACGATATCTATTCGTTAAACGTTACTTTTCACACTCTGCAAGTACCTGTGTGAATCTTGAGGTGCATCCTGAGGTTGCTGGGATCGCTGAAGGCCTTGCTGCAGTATTCACACTTGTGTGGTTTCATTCCTACGTGCCCCATGAAGTGCACATTGAGCTTAGTGGAAGTTATGAAAGCCCGGGAACACATGCTGCACTTGAATTTCTTCTCCCGCACATGACCCTGGCCTTTTGCTCTGGGGTTGTTAGAGTTTCTACTACTGCTGCCCCCGCTGCTGTTGTCGCTGTTTGTTTGCCCCGTGGGGTGGTTGTGGCAGGGCCACGGGGAAGAGGACGAGCTTGAGGTTCCGTTGGTCAGCTTCTCTTCCTGGTGAGTGTGTTGCTGTGGCTGCTGCTCTTGTTGCTGCTGCTGCTGCTGCTGTGGAGGTGGTGGTTGTTGCTGCGAGTGGTCCTGCTGCGACGGGCTGTGGCTGTGTGGAGGCTGGTTATGGCTGTGGTTACCGTTATGGTTGCTAAGATGAGACTTGAGCTCAGAGAAGGAGGAGCACTCTTTGCCACATTGGCAGATTTCACCCTCAGGCACCTGAGGAACACCTTCAGAGGTAAAAAGACGGCAGGATAGTCATCAACAATCCACCCAAAATTCACTCTCAGGTTTGAAAGGCAAACAGATATCCAAGCCAGAAACGGTAAAAACTGAAAGAAAACTGAAAATTATCCAAAAGCCACCAAGTTATTAAATTTAACGATCAAAATTTTAAATTTAAAAACTTGACAAAAAATAATAATTTGCAGCCACATTCTGTAAAAAGCAAAAAGAATTCTGTGCTCCTCAGTGCAGACATGAAGCCAATAACAACTCACCTGTGACCAACAGTCACAAGACAAAAATTCACTGCTCTTCGGCTGAACTGCAGATTGTGTGGCATTCTAACTTATTATACAACTTATTATAATATTTCTACTTCCTACATGTAGTGATGTTTGAGCTCTCTCTATCTTGTCAAGAAAGTGTTAAAAAGTGTTGTGAAATTAACTCGTGTTAATGCTGATAATGCTTGTTGACACAAGTGCAACAATCTTAGGCATTTAAGTTAAACAATAAATTTGTGGAAATTGTGGGACTTATTGATTTGGGGGCTTTTCTTTAGCAACTGTAAACATTTGTATTGGCATTTGTAGAAGAAATATTCAAAACTTTTGTCACATTAAAATATATATATCACACAACATAAATGCTGTCAAAGAAAAAGTCCTGCATTTATTTATGCTTTCAACTCTAAAGTAAAGAATGACAAAAAGGAAATTAAAAACAAAACATAAAATAGAGCAATGCTAATCCTGTTTGTAATTAGTGTTGTTTTTTTTTTTTTTGTTTCTTAATGAGTATACAACACTCATCCCTGTTCCGTCCTCTCACCCATCAGCCTGCAGTAGTCTCTGCTGTAGTAGAAGAGCAGCTCCTGGTCCGGGTGGATCTCTGTGGTTGTACAGAAGAACAGTTTACCATTGGCAGGATACGCCACCAGATTCTGCTCTTCGCGGGTCCTAAATGCACAAACACACATCCAAATTATAACAGAACACTGCTTTTTATGCCAGCTCTCTTTTTTCATTTGTTGTGCAGTTTACGAACAATGCATACTCTTTAACGTTTTTTTAAATATACACAGAATAAATGATCATTAGCATATCTTGGCGTCGTACCTCGCCTTGCGGACAAACATCATCCAGTTGCATTCGTTCTCATCTGTCGTCACAATGTAGAACTCCAGCACATTGTTGTGGTACATCTGTGGCAGGAGAAATCACTTATTGTCAATTATTATATTAAGCAGGGTTTTGCGCTGCCTGAGACAACCTCAGTTCAACACAAACCACAGCACGGACCTTCCATATTTGAGGTGTGTCCTTTTCTAGCCAATCAGAGAGATCCACACTGCTACAATGCTGGCCAACTATTGGTCCAAAGCAGGTCCTCGGAGGAATGACGTCCCGTGCAAAGACTCCTATAAGGAGGAACACACACAAATATTCATAGTAATGCAACAATGCAAACTTGAAGGTAAACATCAACACTGTGTGTGTGCTTTTATGATTCCATTTACCAGTTAAATAACATTTGGGCTCACCAAAACTGACTAAAAAATTTGCCTTATAATCTGCCATTTAAGTTATCTGCTAAATATAACTGCTGTGTCAGTCCACAGAACACGTCTGTCTAAATATTAGTCCCAAAAAGACACTGTTTAGGAGTGTTAGCAATCTCACCAAGAGGTTCGTCAGCCACTGAGATGCGCAGGCACAGTGGACGTGGAAGAGAGAGGCGAGCTCGGCTCTGGATGGGAGCATCAGGGATGAAGGTGACCGGGCCGTGTTCCGGACAGTCTGAGGTATATGAGCGTTCACATAGTGTGCACCCTGCAACAAAACCAGCAGAACAAAGTTAGTGCAGGCTAGAGCTGTCTGAGAAACTTACATTAACTGCACATAAACAATGTGAAGAGCTTTTTTGTTGCACATCTTCATATAATCAACAATGAAAATCCTAAAACGTGGCTGCATGACAAAAGCTGACATTAGGACTGAACCAAATATCGCTTCAGTCAACACTGTGATGTGCACGCAATTCACCCTAATTTAGAGGTTCTTGGACACATTTAAGTTTGTCTTTTTGTTTTGTTTTATTTACAAGATTATGGAATTCGCTGCCATCATGCAGGCTCCACATGACTGAGCAGTTACATCAGCACTACAAAGCTCTGTTTGATGAGTGTCGAGTCAGATCTGAATACCGCCAAAAGCAAAAACATAATTTTGGATGTTTTTACCAGTGTTACACCACATGACAAAACTTCCAAAAGCCTTTTTTCTCTTTTCATCATTACTTTCCAAGTAGAATCATTAATATCATCGGGTTTTTTGTGCTTGAGAAAAACTAATTCAAAATGTATTTTTATGTCCACTTTTTATTGGCTTTAAAAACTAAATTACAAACTCACACATGGTGTAAGCAGACACCAGGTTCTCCTTGTTGGAAGTAGAATCCTCCAGCTGTAGGGTGGAGTTGACCAGCACCAGGTTGTTTTCTGGCCCCAGCGACACTTCTGCAGTGATGGGGGACACGTTAACCGCCTCCAGCCCCATCCCAGAGTGTCCATGCAGGGACACTGGCTCCAGCTGGCTCTGGCTGGCCATGGAGCCGGTGAGCACCACGCTCACAACACCCGAGTTTAGCTCCCCGTTTGAGTGGAGCTGTTCCCCAAGTCCTCCAGCTCCTCCTGCCCCAGAGTTTCCCACTCGTCCCCCCATGTGATCAGGTTCCATCACCACTGGTAGCTCCAGCACAGGAGGTCCATGGAGGGGCATCACACCACCAGAAGAGTCCAGGCCCTCGTGAGGCTGAGGCTGCCTTCCCCCGCCAAGCTGCTGCTGGGTGTCAGACACCGCCACCACCCCAACTCCATCCATAGTGGCCAGCTCCTCTCCCATGCGGTCCGGGGACATGGGGCTGCTGACGCGTGACTCCATCGCCAACCCTGTAGAGTCCAGCTCATGAGCGCCAGTCTGGTGGAGGTCACCCTGGCCGCTGACCTGTCTGGAGTCCATGGGCACCAGGCCCTGCTCCAGTGGGCCTCCAGGGCCACTGTAGGGGTCCAGACCTGAGGGGTTGTTGCTGGCAACAGACAAGGTCCCATCCATGTTAAGGCTGCTGGGATGAATGTACTGAGGTGGTGGACGGTCTGCCAGGTAGGACAGAATACCTGCGGAGCAAACATGGAGGGAGTGTGACAAAACTGCAGTATGACTAATTCTCCTCTGCTGTCTGGCTATATTCATTTAACAGCTCTCTGACATAAATAAACTAGTTATTACTATTGAACAAGCATTCACACGACAGCAATCACCAGAAACTATTTAGAAACCTCAAACCGACCTGGCAGTATGTGTCGGAAATAACTGCTCTCCAGGTGGGGGTACGGAGGAGGCGGCAAGGAGTAATTCCTTTCCGGCAGGCCGCACATCACTCCTCTGTCACTCAGCGGACCCATGGGGAGCATCAGCGATAAGGCAGAGGGGAGGGAACCAAGGGAAGGGCCCAGACTGGGGATGGCCACTGGCATGCCTGAAACATAAAACCCATCAACAGGTGAAGAGGTGCTGGAGTAGAGAATATGATGGCAACTTGTCTGCTTGAACATTTTAAAGCACACTTAAACAGATAATAAAGTCACCAATGACAGATGAGTTTCGAGTTATCCATCTATCATTTTAGTACATCAAACTTTTATAAATTTTCACAGCTGGAATCAGAGGAGTGAACCATGAAGAAAGTGCGCCAGGCTTTCTTTATGTTAGCTGGCTCTAAACCGAACCCCCCAATCAGAGAAAATGGATATCAGAACAGTGGTTATCAACTTTCTTTGCTAAAGAGGTTTTCTTTATCAGGTTCTGTGTGCACTACAATAAAAGGGGACATTTGATGCACATTGTGCACAAAAAAAACCCCACACAATGTACCACCTACTTCAGTCGAGAGCAACAGGTTGTCAGAATGAAGAGCTATGAGGAATATATAAACTTAACACGGTAAAAAGCGCTGCTACTGTAAATGCTGCAAGAGAGGAATGCTGGTAGAAAACTGGTATTTGTGTCAGTTACTATGTATATTTAACCACTCAGTAACTCTCAATGCAGCTGCTCAATTCTAACATGACAGCTGCACATTAAAGTTGAACTTTGAACTTCATACATTCAAACATGATATCTAACAAGTACATTTAAGTCTGGCAAAGTCAGTCAGTGTAGGATACGTGGAAATCACTGTAGTTTCTAGCACATCAAAGTCAGCTTATATTATTCATTGAATAACTAATTTTTTAATCTGTTCTATTAGCTGCAATAAGAGCAGTGTAAAACAAACCTGGCTGCAAATCAAGACCACACATGAAAACATACCAACTGAATGCCCTGCACGCTCCAGTGGCATTGTGACAAGTACAGCTTGTGCTACAGTAACTGCACACTTTAATTCAGTGGTATTGCAAACATACTGCTCAACCGGTTTGCAGTGAAATGCACTTCAAAGTACACCCCTCTGACAGATTGAGCATGTTTACGACACAGATCAGAATGCATAATATCTCCATATATCTGTAACCAACCCACTAAATATGTGACGAAGAGTATTCTCACAGTTAAGATGAGGTTTAATGAGTTTGCAGCTTGAGCAAACAGCTCAGGCAGGTAGTTTCTTCCTTACCTGGAGTGGGAATGGGGTTGTGAGTGGGGGAGGTGGGCAGACCCAGGTGGCTGGCACTCACAGAGGGCACACTGAGCTGGTCCATGCCCACAGGACTCAGGTTCATGTCATTCATCCTGCAGATTCAACCCCAGAGTTAGCCAGTACTGAGCATTTAGCCAGTAAGCTAGTTATTAGAATTAGCTGATTGCTTGAGGGTTTGGCTGCTGATATAAGACACAAACTCTGGCTCTAAAGTCGTGTGACTGCTACAGGAGATTACAGACAACATTTTGCAAAGGAAAACACTCAACATTCAACATAAAGCTTGTCACGAGTTGTGAGCTGCATTAGCTTACCTGAATTCAACAGCTGATGTCCATTAGTAACCGTGTACAATCAAAAGGTAGCTTTACGTGTCTCTCCCTGTGAAATAAGACACCAGGTATGAAAGCAAATTGAAACAGCCACATACCAAAGCCAGGTCTTGCACAACTCTCACTGAAGCTGCCAAATCAGCAGCTAACGTTTGATTTAAACTGACTGTTGCAGCAACCAGCAAGCTAGTTAGCAAAACTAGCTAACTTTCGCCTCCATAAACCGTCAAACCAAACCGAGTTCAGGTGTTTCGGCTGCGTAAGTTCACAAATGTACCTCGACACGACCGAAGGTGTTGCTTCGTGGCAGAAATAGTCATGAATTGAAGAGAAAGAGGACATAAAAACAACAACATACCAACACAAAACCTCCCTGAACGGGGCCATGACAGCGTTACTGTCTCTACACGCATGCGCAATAGCAAGTCAGCGTGCAGGAGCGTTTGGCTGATCAGAGGTCAGTTTGTGTCCAAACACCAGCGCTGCTGCCAAGTGTGGCTGATATTCAGTAGAAATATGTGTCAACAGGGACATGCACTGTCCCAGAGAGGGGAAATGTTCTGAACAGATGTAAAATATAGGCTGTTGACTTTCACTGATGCTATCTTATTGTCCAGTTTAAAAAGCAAAATTAACCAAAAGTGCTGAAAAACAGTTAAATAAACAATGTGTTATTGACATACAAAGAAATAAAGGGAGAAAAAGAAAGAAAGAAAGAGCTTCACAATCAATGTAATTACCCACCCTCATTGCTAAGCAGCTGATTCTCTGTTTTCCCCACATTCTATGTGAATCCATGTTGGAGATTTTAGGTAAATTCTTAATGCTGTCTAAAACCTACCTATAGAATTGTGAAAGTGCTATTCTATTTGTGAAAATGCAAAAGAAATGGAGATTCCACTCCTTTTCCTCTCTAAGCTTTATTTTTAATTGTTTCTTTTTCTTCTTTTTGCATCTGGACCAAATCAAAGCAGGTTTAGATCTAAAATCCCTATATGCAGAATAATCAACTCTGGGATCTTAGATGATCCCAGAGTGACTAACGACTCTTTAAGGCATAGTTTCTAATCTGTATAACCTTTATGCTTTGTATGAAAAGACAAAAAAAAATTGAGATTTCAAAGCAGTTCTTCTTTCTTTCTCTTTTTTTTAATTTTTTCTTTTTGCATCTGAGCCCACTCTATGTGGAACCATGAAATCTGGACTATATGTCAGAGAGGCTAAATAGTCTTGATTGCACAATTTCTAATTTGTGGAACCTTTAATCTATTTGTGAAAATGACATTTAAAAATGGGAGATATCACAGTTTTTTTTTCTTCTCCATGTAAACCACATGAGACCAGGTTCAGATCTAAAACCACTTCCTATAGATTGACCAAGTCTGGACTAGATTGTCCTACAGAAATTAAAGAGTCTTTAAAACACAGTTTCTGATCCGTGAAACCTTTTTTCTGTTTGAGAAAATGCAAAAAAGGGAGATTTCACTGCTTATTTTTTGCATCTCGGTCACATCACACCCGGTCTAGATCAGAAACCATCTAATATAATCATGCTTCTTGCATTTATGCATTTTTACAAAAAGAATAAAGGCTTCATGAATCAGAGATCACAAGAATCTTTAGCCTCTGTGGAACAATATAGTTTTGACTTAGTTTGTACTAGTTTTTGATGTAGTCTGCATGCCAAAAAGATTTTCAAACACTTCTAGATTAAAGTGTTCATGACTTAGAGACTGTGATTTGAAGACATTTTAGCCTCTCTGACATAATACTGTCCTGATTTAACCCATCTATATATATATCTGGACTTGGTCTAATGTGACTCAGATGTGAAAAAAGCTGTTAAATCTCCCCTTTTTTTTTTTGCATTTTTACAAATACTAGCTTCTGTTACTTCATTGCTAAGCAGTCAGAGGTTTCAGTTTTCCTTGAATATCTGCTATTTCAAACATTTTTTTCTTCTTTTGGCATGTTATTAAAACCGGATCTGCTGAACTCAGATTTGGATCTTCCATCCCCAAATCTACCTGAAACGCGTCTTCATGCCTCATTGTTGATACAGACATTAATAAAAGATCCATTAGAAGCAGTAAAGTCAGCCTCTTATCAGCCCATAAAGTTTTCCTGATCGTATTATATTTTGTGAAGAGAACTGCCTCACAGGAAGGAAGAACGCGTTCTGTAAACAGTTCTTTATCTTGATGAGAACGCTACATGGCTGCATCTCCGCCCCGGATCACACCCACCCTGCAGCCTCAAAACCCCAACAAACAGGCTGACACCGACTCTGACAAAGTCCTGATCGAGGACAGTCGGCTTGTAGAAGATCGCAGTCTGGATATTTCATCACAAATTGACGAGAGTCGAGATTGGCGAAACACGAAATGATCGTGAGGAGACTCTGCAGGGTGAGCTGACAGGATTCATTTGGTGCACAATCATTTGGATCAGTTTTCCTGTTTGATTTATAGGTCTATCTTTTTAATATTTGTTTTTTAGAAAGATGTCATACCACAGTAAGGACTTAATGGACCATGTTGCCTTCGTGCCTCCTCTGGCTCTCCACGGCCTCTCCATGGACAGCAGCGGTGCGCACTACAGAGACGCGCTCCGGCTCGGACTGCCCTTCCACCTGGACGCGGCTTACCTGGACCCCGGCCAGAGGTCGCCTTACAGACGCTTATCCTATTTCCCCTTCGGTGTGTGTGATTATTCCTTCGAGCCCGCGTTTATCCGCAAACGGAACGAAAGGGAGCGACACCGGGTGCGCTGCGTAAACGAGGGTTACGCGCGTCTCCGGGAGCATCTGCCGCAGGAGTTTGAGGACAAACGGCTGAGCAAAGTGGAGACGCTGCGGGCGGCCATCGACTACATCAAACACCTGCAGAGGCTGCTGGACTTGAACGTCTCCGGGATGGAGATGTCACTCGGAGACAACCAGAGGGCGCAGAGGACAGACAGTGATGGAGAGTCCAAAACCAGCCTGAGCGACAGCGGGGAGGCGGTTTACTAGCTGCTGGTCTCTTAAACCTGCTGAGTATTAGACTATTAAGGAGGAAAAAGACACACAAATAGTGAAAGACAACCTTGTGTTTTTACAGTAAAGAATAAAATCTATTTTCAATGAGTTTTCGTTGACATTGTGACTACTGTGAAGCATCAGAGAAAGCAGATATTAAAAGCAACAACAAGATGCATGAACATGGACTTTCATTTTTCACTTCAGGGAGCAGTGCATGTTACAAATAATTTTTTTTCTTACCTATTTTGCAGCATGTCGCAGTTTTGGTGTGGTAATGTATAGACACATCAAGGTCACTGTGGTTTCTGTTTGGTGAGAAACTCTGAACAGTCTTTACTGCAGGTGCCTCTGACTGGCTGCACATTGATTAGTATGACAGTGGAGTCCTGAGCAGGCTGTAGAAGTGAAATTAAAATAAGAATTTTGAATACATTGCTTTTGGGGGAACAAGTTGGACACTTACAGGAGAGTTTAGAGCACAAATCAAGGATTTATTGTGGAATTTGATGGTCTAATCATCAATAGTTCAACTTAAATCCCCCTTGAGGAACCAAATGTAGAAAGTCACATTTGTTATTATGCAATTTAAATATTATCGCTTTCCTTTTTTAGACAAACTTACTGTGCAAACTGATATGTTCTTTAAACCATGTGAATAAGAATAGACGTGTCCTTAAAGGGCATTAAAGGACAAGTTGAACATTTAACCCCTTTTAAAAGGAGACGTAAGAGCACAAATCAAGCTAGAATTTCAATCCAATTGCATTACTGTGGACTTTGATGGCCTAATTATCATTAATTCTAATTAAATCCTTTCCTTTCAGAGCTTCAAATTAAGTAAGCAAATGCAGAAAGTCCAATTTTTTATCTTGCAATTTCAATATTATGGCTTTCTGTACTTAGACAAACTTGCTGTGCAAACTGATATGTTCCTGAAACCATCTAAATAAGAATAGAAATAGGGGTTAATATGCGTTTTGACTAAATAGATCCTTAAAGCCACTTAAAAGGGCATTAAGTAACAAGCTCCCTTATTGAAAGGAGACATTAGAGCACAACTCAAGATATACGTTCAATTCTATTGCATTATTGTGGACCTTGATGGCCTGATCATCATTCATTCAAATAAAATTTCCCCTTTTCACAGCTCAAAATTGAGAAACCAACAGTTGCAAATCCCTGCAAAAAAGAAAAGTTTTTTTAATTGTGCAATCTAAATAATCTAACTTTCCTATGTTGGGCAAATGTTCTGTACAAACTGGTATATTTCTGACACCGTGTACATAAGAGAGGGTCATTTCCCTGTTAGACTAGATAGATCCTTAGATCTACTAAAATGGGTGTGGTGGACAATCATCATTATTTCAAATTAAATTTACCAAGCTCTGAATAAAGGAACCAACCCTGCAAAGAAGAAAAAATTGCATTATGTACTTTAAATATAATGGCTCTCCTTTCTGAGACAAACCTTCTGTGCAAACAAGGGCTCATATATTCCGAAAATCATGTCAATAAAAATAGAAATAGGGGCTAATTTGCTTCTTGGGTTGCACGAGGGGCATGTTGAACACTTAATCTCTTACTGAAAGGAGAAGTCAGCGTACAAATCAAGCTATGCTGGACTAATTCTAATTCAATGTTCAGAGCTCTAAACTGAAGAACCAAGGGCAGAAAGTCATCAAGTTTATTAGACAAATTGTACAAACCAGGGTTCATATATTCCTAAAACCATGTAAATAAACATAGAAACTGGAGTTCATGCATGTATTATTATATGCTTTCACTAAGTGTTCATACGCAGTTTGTTTGAACCTTTCTAATGCACGCATGACGTTGTCCTGTGGTGGTAAAATCAGAAAACCATTTGTAACGTGTAAACAGAATAAGGTGATGCCTCCTTTTTTTTTTCACAGCATGTTTTCGCTTCGACTTGCCGTAGCACAAAAACAAGGTCGGTCCTGTCTTCAATTAAAACTCTTGTCTTGTTTAGTGTCTTTACGGCCACTTGAAGTGAACATCATATGACAATAATGGTTTTAAGTGGTAACTTGGAGGCAGCATTTCAAACCTGAAGCATCTCCTCTGTCTCGTTTGTTTTCTCAGTTACCTGAGTGCTCTTCAAAGACCACCTACTTACTGTAAATCAGCTCGGGGTTCTCAGGAAGTTTTTCTCTCCTAATAGCTTCAGGAATGCATTTATCAGGGAGCCCTCAGCCTCTTAAGAGGAAACTCCTGAAACACCTCAGCTCCACTCTTTTTTTTTTGCCTGTTTTTGCTTCCCACCTCCGCTGACCTGCACGGAAACTGATTTTCAGCCCTATCAAAACCACAAATTAAAGGAAAAAAAGTAAACATGACATTGTATATAAGTAGAATGGGTTTGGAGAGACCAGCAGAGTGCAGTGGAAGTGAACCGTGCCGGTATGGAAGAATGGCATTGATAGGCACGAAGGCATGACAAAAACTCAACAAAAGGCGTCTTGGCAGAGCAGCATGTGAATTAGACCCAATAATTAGCCAAGTGCTGGTACCCTGGGCTTGATGGTTCAGTGGCGCTCTGAAGATAGAAAACATGAAGCTACTTATATGAAAGCCTCCGCCATAATGGATGTTTTCTTTTCTGAAGCGCACGGGCTGATTGTAATCGGATTCCTGTGTGGATTCCTCGTGGGCATTTTTCTATTCCACTGTAAAAGTTGTTGCCTATGCATGCAACAGATTTAATCCAGAGAATGGGGGGGGAGGAGGTTGCGGGGAATTATCTGGATTTAATTCCAATCTATTTGTGGCGTTGTGTCACATGTGCTAACCCCCTACACTTTTCAACCTGTCACAACATGCGACGCAGAAATCTGCACAAAATCTTGTTTTAAATCAAGAGTTTCAACAATAAGCCCTCATGTTGCATCATTTCATCTCTTGGTTCTAGTGACCTTCTTACACAGTGACTGTAAAGCTTCTTGTTGGGCACTAAAGTTCAGACTGACAACAACATGTCATCCAAACACACAGGACCACCATGGGCCCGCTGGTAAACACACTTGAGGACAATCGGGGACAAGATTTGGAAAACATGGAAAAATGAAAACATAGAAAAGATAATGTAGAATAACAAACAAGATGGAGGACAGACTGGTTTAAATCTATCGCCTTTTAGAAATAGAAAACTTGATGATTCAAATTACATTCACAGTGTTAGCTATCTGCCAGTAAGACAAATAATGCTGGTGAACATAATTATATTAGCTCACCTAAAACATTAGCCTGTTAGCATTGGTATTTGCTTTATATTTGTTTACTTTTCTGCCATTTGTATTAATGTTTTAACTCTAATTGTTAAGCACTTTGTAACTTTATTAAGACAAATGCTGTATATACAAGTTTATTATCATTATTTGAATATTGAGCACCTTAGCGTGGTAATGCTAGAGTGTCAAGAGCTGCTAGCTTGGCTAAGAGTCAGCATTCATGATGGGAAGGGCAATATTGTAAAAAGAATACTCTGACATTTCGCATAATTAAATTCTTGACAATACATGAGAAGATTAATACTAATCTCACGTCTGTAAGTGTGGAGCTGGAGCCTGCAGGTGATTAGCATAGCTTAGCATGAAGACCAGAAACAGGGAAACAGACAACTTGGCTTTGTCAAAAGTAAATAAAAAAATACAATAAAATACATATTTACCATCACTTCTAATGGACAATATGACAAATACACTATTGTCATTTATTTTCTTATATCCATAAACAGTTCCAATACTTTCTAAAACAACAAATTATTGTTTTTAGCCATGCTAGTTACATTAGCATTTTACATGCTCCCCTCAGGATGAATTTGTTAATGTTGGTGATTTTAACGGCATTTCTGTCAGCTGTAGCTTTTTTTGTGGTGATGCTGAATAGCTAATGATAATTAGTGATAATATTAAGTTTATTGTCTTAGTTTAAATGCTGAAAGAAAAAAAAACACCTGCATGTGTGCCAGACACATATCTTCTATGTGCACTCTGTATTGATCCTGATAGTGTTTTTTTTCTTTTTCTGTCTGCAAGACTACACATTTGTGCAGTGCAGGAAAGAAAATTCCTGCAAGCATGCGTGATGACGAGGCGAGATAAAGTTTATCAGCAGTAAGGGACCACCGGGAAAGGCTGCTGCGACTTGTCCAGACAGCAAACCCTCATGTAGGGGACGGAAACGGAAGAACCAGGAGTGACAGGAGTGATGCTGGGTTGTCCTCCGTAGACAACGCTGATGCTGTTCAGCTTAAAGACACAAGTATCTTGATTTAAAGAGCACCTGTTTTAGCATTTCAGATGCAACATTTAGAATTTTATAGATTTTATTGGTCATTATTAGCAATAAATACACTGAAATACTGTTTGAAAATTCCAAAATGAGTTGCACGAGATAAGGCATGTATTGTAGAATACAGCAGCAAACGAGGTATTCATAAGCACCGATACAACACTATACATTACGCCAAGATGTAAAAATCCTAAATGCAAGTTCCACATGTACTTAAACTATTGAAAGTAAAAGTATTTATAAATCAGAATGATCTGTGTTACTGTATATGACTTCATTGTTCATGCTTTAGAAAGTCAGCATTACTTTAATGTTGTTGTTGGTACTCAAAATACATTATGTTTCACCAAATGGTCATGTGTTTTGAGTGACAACTGTTAATTGAGGAGCATAATTAGTAACTGTACTATATCTCATAATATACAAAAAAAATTATTAGATATTAAAGATAAGTTCATTGTTTCTACATGTGAATCATCCTTCATTGAACATTAGAAAGCCAAAATTACACATGATCTCATGTAAAGTTAAGGCTTTAAAATGTATTTTACTTTTGGAGAATCACAGTAATTTTTTTGGCACCCTAGCTGCTGAAATAGTACTAGTAGTTATTTATTTATTTAAATGTATTTACTGCAAACACGACAACAATATTATAGAAAAATTCTTAAGTAAAGCTGGTTTACAGCACTGGAAAGAACACAAAGAAGCAAATGATGCATCGTTGACTCTAATTTATTGATTTAAATACATATTTACAAGTGGCTAAATGTTGTGACACTCAGTGAAATGTAAGTTTGCAGTGCAGCACAAGTGTATTTACGTGTTTCCCAGCAGTTAACGGGCCTGCAATTCATCGAGCTGTTCA